TAGGAATCAGGCATAAGTAGGCTAATGATTAGAGGAAGAACCGGGAAGAGAGCCTGCCTGTAGTGGAAGAAAGGAGGTTCATTGAGCAAGTGTCGGTTGTTTATTTGGATGATTATAAAAAGGCTCAAGGAGACTTTCTTTCTGATGTTACGTAACCATGCTCCAGGCAGTAATTCCTAAGTTTAATGTGTGTGCCTGGCGTCATACTTGAAAGGGTAATGATTTAACTGCCAGCCATACCAAACCGACAGATTAAAGGAAGGCCAACAATTCTGAGCAGGTGATGGGCAGGAAGGAGAACAGTGCTGAGAGAAACGAACGCTTTCAAGAGAAAAACGAATCCCTCCCATGTGTCAGCTATTATTACTTTTTTTCTTCTTCTATTATTTGGTGTATTATTTATATTTTTGGTGTTGTTGTGTGGTGGATTTATTGGATAAACTAACGCGTTGGGGTGTCAAGCCCTGGGGTCATACCGGTCTTACTGGAAGAACGAGAGTCGGATGACGAGACGGACTGGATGTTTGAGTCGCACTGTACGCTCACCTCCTCTTTTGTGCGGTTTCATGGAACAGCGTTTTCGCCAGGCCCTTCGTTGCCGTTCAGTCGGGGCCCTAACGCGGAGCCGAGGGCGTCAAAAATATTAATAATTCGAGGGAAGTCGAGATTTATCGCTTGAAATGACGAACAGAAAAAGGCAAGGCATCGCCGCTGTTGGATGGGAAGGAGTCTGGTGGGATTATTTTCGGAATGTATTAGATTTTTTCCCCGGGGAAACCCCCCATCGGGGGGAAAGAGCCTGCTCAGGACAACACGGAACGGCGCGATTTGGGAAGCGATGGCGGGTTGTTTTTTTAGTGGAGAACGCGCGTGAGCTGCGAGCACCGGAGCCTCGCGGTCGAACGGGGCTCCGTGTAAAACTGTGATCCGTTGGAGCCAAAAGGCCGGCGCTTTAGAGAGCCGAGCCAAATGATTCCGGACTCATGGATACCAGTGCGTATCTATAAGGGTCGGCCAGTCAAATCAACAATCTTGTTTTTTTCCCTTACATGATTGATCAAAGTACTCCAACACATTGTAAGTCGATAGGCCAAGGAGCTGGACATTTCAGACACCTCTAAGCAGTTGACCATCACAACAGAGCCGGGCTGACTGAGTGGTAGAGTGCTAGAGGTTTCAGTCCATGCGCTACTAGGCTTGGGCGGTGATTGCCGGTATTACGGTTATACCAGGGTATTTCGAAGATACGTCGTAGGTTTTTCATACCGTGACTTCACGGCTGTGCGCCAATCACAGGATCGTTTCATTCTGATTACACTGACACGGAGTTGTTGACAGGGACGACATTGTTTGTAAATGCCCGCACGCGCCGCAGCAGGGCAGGGGCGGCCGTCGTCTTTCCACTTCAGCAGCTCAGCACAGAGCTGAGCTGAGCAGATGGCGCAGCATTTGCGCCCCGGAACTCGGCAACTGTAAAAGAAAAATGCCTCTGCGCCTGTTTGGGCTTATTTTGAGTTTACTCGTCGCCGTGCTTCATCCGCCCACGAGAGCGAGAGCTTCTTGGGAATGTTTAAGAGACCGGGTGAGTGAGGTTGACATTTTTTAATCCTTGAACGGTTGTGGTTTTGTAGTCGAGGTCGGACGGTTTTAAAACGAAGCATTTACGTGCTAGACTTCACGGCGAGTTATCCAATGAGTCAAATGGAAATAGGGTTTTGTATGACACACGCACCGGAATCATATTGCCAAACTATTAGTGAATATAGCAACTTTATCAATAAGGTCAAGTATTTACTCCCGGAAATGTTTATGTATGGATTGATATTGTTACTTAGTCACTATGGAACACGTCGGACATTCTCAAATCGCGTCTGTATCCGATTCTCAAAATGTGCCATTTGCCACATGTGTTCATGTATGCAGCTTGTTTTTGCACTTGCGCGCACGTCCGGCACTTTGCGGCGTCTACCGGCTCTGCTGCATTTACACCGACTATAATATCGTTCGAACATTATTTGCGCCGGCCACCACGTCACTCAATCGACCCAAGTCCTACCGTCAGTGCGGCTGGTGAAAATATTTTTTGTGGGGCTGTTTGATATAGTGAAGAAAAAAAAAATTTTGGGAGGAAATTACCCTTAAATGGGACTGATACCGGGGGTCCATAATACCGGTTAACCACGGTATGAGTCACAAGGTTTGACGTATAAAAAAATGATAACCGCCATGCCTAATGCTACACCCCCCACTTATTCACCTTTAAATGTCCTCAATGCAGAGATCAGCAGATGTCGAGAATTTCTGATGCAGAGTTAACTTAAAGGTGACCTATCATGCAAAATGCACTTTTGTACGTCTTTTATACATGAATATGTGTCCCCGGTGTTCCAGGGAACTCACCAAGTGTCAGAAAACACAACCCTCTCTATTTTCCTCCATACCCAAATCTCTTAAAAAGGGGCTGCAACAGATCTGATACAGACTGATCCAGATTTGAACACTTCTATGACGTCACAGAAGTGGCGCTACGGCTATTGGGCCAACTCCACCAATCAGGAGGAGACAGCCACGGACATTGCCGTTTGAAAGCGATGGAGACGCTGTAGTACATATGCCAGGCCTATAGATGGTGCTGTTCTCACAGAATCAGCCTATGAAAAGACAGTGTTAAATTGAGCTAAATGAGGAATGGCTAAAATGCATGATCTGTTTGGTATTTTGAAAAATAAAAAGTATTAATATGCCTTATATAGGTATGGTCCTACACTATATTATTCAAATATAGCATGACAGGTCCACTTTAACAAATCTTTGGGCAGTGTTCCCTCCCATAGTGTATTTGTGTTGTTTCCCATTAATCATTGTTGATATGAAATTGAGAATAATTGTGTATCTTGTGAGTGAGGCTATTTTGTCTTTGTTAGTTTTAATTTGGACATTCTCAAAATAAAGATTGCCAACATTGGGATTCTGTCTCACAGCAGGAAGAAGTGAAAACAACTGGCGCAAAGCAGAGGAGCGGAGCAGATCAAAGAAATCTACAAAAAAAAGAAGAAATTAAAAAGAAAGGGGTGGGGAGGGAGAAAGATAGGAAAAATCTGTTGCCAATTTAAAGGGATGCATCAACAGATTATTTTCATTATTTATGTCTCTTATTTGTTTTAAATATTCGTTTGTTCCGTAAAATGTGACTTTTTTCAGTTTCCCACTTATTAAATTCCAAGAATCCAATATACAAAGATTTAAAACAGAAATAAATACTTAAAAAAAGCTGGAACCAGTAACTGTTTTGGTACTTTGGCTTTAAAAATCTATTGACAAACTTGATGTAGTTATTTTCCCCAAAATATTATTAGTTTCCTTTTGATTAGGCGCTTCATTAATGTCCCACTTCTTTTCTCAAAATCCCATCTTCCCAGTCTCTTCCTCTTTCAGTCACCTTCTCTCATCCTCACAATCCATTTTCATATTTAACATCCATCCATCTTCTTATTATTGCATCCAACCTGCTCGACACTGATGAAGTTCTCATCACTCTGCCTTACCGTCCCACCCTCCGACGCCCCCAGACAGCAACCTTCTCCCTTTAGTAAATATTTGTTTTCCGAACAATTGTAGGGCAGATAGTTGGAAAGCTGACATCTGCCCCCCTTTGTGGCACACAACCCCTGAGGAGCTGCACTTACAAGCACTGGAATCAAATACATTAGACATCATTGAGATGAGAGGGTGGGGATGTGAATTCAAAACTGACATCCCGCTAAGGCTCTCAAGGAGGAGCATGGATGATTAGCAAATCCAGAGAGTGTCTGGCACTATGTT